TGCCTTCCTTTTGGCCTCTCTGGAAAAGTATCTATTTAGGTTGGTTGCCCATTTTGGTGATTGGGTTGTTTATCTTCCTTTCCTTAAGTTGTATGAGTTCCCTGTAAATATTGGAGATGAAACCCTTATCAGAGAGAACATTGGCAAATACGTTCTCACATGCAGTGGGCTTTGTTGTTGTCTTGTTGATGGTTTCTTAGGCTATGAAGAAGCTTTTTATTTTGATGTTGTCTCATTTGTTTATTTTCTCTTTATTTTCCATTGCCCCAGGAGCTGTATCGGTAAACGACATATGTCTGATATTTTGCTGCCTATGGATTCTTCTAATATTTTTATGGTTTCCTCTCTTACATTTAAGTCTTTTATCCATTTTGAGTTTATTTTTGTGTATGTTGTAAGTTGGTGATCTAGTTTCATTTTTTTTTTCGTGTATCTGTCCAATTTTCCCAGGACCCTTTATTGAAGAGAGTGTCTTAACTCCATTGTATGCTCTTGCCTCCTTTATGAAATGTTAATTGAGCGTAATTGCTTGGGTTAATTTCTGGCTTCTGTCTTTGGCTCCACTGAACTATATGTCAGTTCTTGTGCCAGTACCAGGCAGTTTTGAGAACAGTGGCTTTGTATTATAGCTTGATATCTGGTATTGTGATTCCTCCAACTCTGTTCTTCTTTCTCAGTATTGTTGTGTCTATTCTGAGTGTTTTTTTATTCCAGATGAATTTTTGGATAGTTTTTTCTAGATCTGTGAAATATTCCGTTGGTATCGTAATGTAGATTACATTGAATCTATAAGTTACTTTGGGTAGTATGGATATTTTAATGATGTTGATTCTACCAATCCATGAACATGGTATATTCTTCTATTTGTTTATGTCCTCCTCTATCTCTTTTTTGAATGTCCTGTAGTTTTCTAATTAAAGGTCTTTTACCGCATTAGATAAGTTTATTCCTAGATATCTTAATTTTTTTTTAGTGCAGTAGTAAATGAGCTTGTCTTTTTAATTTCTCTTTCTGTGAGTTTATTATTGGTGTATAATAAAGCCATAGATTTCTGGATATTAATACTGTATTCTGTCACATTGCCAAATTCATTTATTATGTCTAGTAGTTTTTTGGTGGAGTCTTTAGGTTTTTCCATGTACAATATCATGTCATCTGCGAATAAGAACAGTTTTAACTTTTCTTTTCCAATTTGGATACCTTTCAGTTCTTGTTCTTGTCTGACCGCTATGGCTAACAGTTCCGAATACTTCGTTGAACAGGAGTGGCGACAATAGGGATTCCTGTCTTTTTTTTTTTTTAAATATGTCTTTATTGTTTAGATTATTACAGTTGTTCCTCTTCCCCCGCAAATAGCTCCCTTCCACCCTGTTCCCACCCCACACCATGACCTTACCCCCCCATTGTCCTCATCCATAGGTGTTCGATTTTTGTCCAGTCTTTTTCTGCACCCCCACACCCCGTTGCCCCTAAAGAATTGTCAGTCCACTCCCTTTCTATGCCCCTGTTCTTTTATATACACCAGTTTATTCTGTTCATCAGATTTTTGTTCACTTGATTTTTAGATTCACTGTTGATAGATATGTATTTGTTGTCACTTTGTTGTTCATAATTTTTTTCTTTACCTTTTTCTTCTTTTTCTTCTTAAAGAATACCCTTCAACATCTACACATATAAAAGCCTAAGTTACCGAATGTCCTCATGACCGAACAACCAGTTGACCGGTGACTATGATGTGCACTCTCCACCAGGGGGCAGACACTCAAAGCAGGAGCTGCCCCTTGGTGGCCAGTGTGCTCCAACAGCCAACCTCTCGTGGCTGGCCAATCGCCCCTGGTCCCTCCCCCTGGCTGGCCGGCCAGCCCCAATGGACCCTATCACTGGCCAGGCCGAGGGACTTGCATGAATTAGTGCAGCAGGCCTCTAGTTTCATACAATACTGGTTTGGCGGTGATGAACTCCTTTAGCTTGTTCTTAGTTGTGAAGCTCTGTATCTGACCTTCAATTCTAAATGATAGCTTTGCTGGGTAGAGTAATCTTGGTTGTAGGTTCTTGATATTCATCACTTTGAATATTTCTTGCCACTCCCTTCTGGCCTGCATAGTTTCTGTTGAGAAATCAACTGACAGTCGTATGGATACTCCCTTGTAGGTAACTAACTGTTTTTCTCTTGCTGCTTTTAAGATTCTCTCTTTGTCTTTTGCTCTTGGCATTTTAATTATGATGTGTCTTGGTGTGGTCCTTTTTGGATTCCTCTTGTTTGGGGTTCTCTGTGCTTCCTGGACATGTAAGTCTCTTTCTTTCACCAGGTAGGGGAAGTTTTCTGTCATTATTTCTTCAAATAGGTTTTCAATACCTTGCTCTCTCTCTTCATCTGGCACCCCCTCAATTCAGATGTTGGTATGCTTAAATTTATCCACAAGGCTTCTTACACTATCTTCATATTTTTGGATTCTTTTTTCTTTTCCAGTTGGGTGTTTTTTGCTTCTTCGTATTTGAAATCTTTGACTTGATTCTTGGGATCCTCTAATCTGCTGTTGGATCTCTGTATATTATTCTTTATTTCAGTTTGTTTAAGCTTAATTTCTGCTTGGTCCTTTTTCATATCCTTGAGGGTTTCACTAAATTTCTCAGAGATTTCTACAATATTCTTGAGTAACCTTATAACTGTGGTTTTGAACTTCATATCCAGTATTTTGCTTTCATCCATTTCTTTCATTTGTGACATGTTTCATTGTTTCTCCATTCTGTTTGCTTCCCTGTGTTGATATAGTGGCTTTCTGTGCTAAGTGTCCTCTAGGGCCCAGTGGCTCAGCCTCCGCATTCACATGATGTGCACTCTCTTCATGCACCTTTTTGTGGGCTGTGTGCACAGTCTTGTTGTAGTTAAGCCTTGATTGCTGTTGCTGTCACTGGGAGAACTGATCTCCAGACCAATTGGCTGTGAGGACCAGTTGTGTCTACAATGGGTGACCTGCTGTGCTGGAGACATCATTATTGGGCAGGACTTGCTTCAGTGGGGCTTTGGTGCTCACTGAGTCTGCCCCCTGAGTGTGTCTCTTGTGGATCTGAAGAGTTGTAATCTGGTGTTTTCTCACTCTGACCACTAGGTACACTGGCTCTTAGATCTCCAAGGAAGAACAAAGTCAGCCACTGCTTGAGGCCACCCAGTAGGAGCTACAGAGAGATAAACAGATTCTACCTCTTTGTTTGTGGTTTGGAGGTACCCAGATGAGACACAGCTGTGAAGCAGTGTAGGCTGTTGACTAGCCTTAGGCCTTCTTTTTGGAAACTCTGGGGTTCTTTGACCCAGCTGTAGTTTTTTAGGTTTTAGATTGCAAAGGCCAGGCCGTTCATATGCAAAAGCCTCTGCACATAGCTTTGGTGGGGTTGTAAATTGGGTGAGGCCGTGTCTCAGGGAATCACTGGGTGGTGCAAATAGCAATGGTTGCCTTTGGTGCTGCCGTGGATAGGTCCTGGGGTTTCTGTGTTCGGCGGCCCCATGCAGGAACAATGAATGCTGCGAGCACCGCTGAGAGAAAGCCACCCTCGTGTTCCAGCACAATGCCAGACAGTCCACTTTCTCCCCATATGAGTCTGGGTCCCCATAGTCTGGCTCCAAACTGGAGTTCAGAGTAATCGGGAGTTTGTATCTCCCTGTCGATTGAAAAAAACCACAGTGTACCCAGCTGCCAGCACGTTTTGTGCTCCTCTGTACCTCTGCTTTTCTGCACCTGTGCACTTCCTAC